GATGAAGTACCTTTCACGTCTTTGATTATCGAGTTAGGTGAAGAGTTGAAGAGTCTCGTGAATTTACTAAGCTTTGACCATATTTCTAACCTTTCTTTTAATGTTTTAATCCAAAATCATTTATTTCGTGTCTTTAAACCCAAAATAATTCATTTCGTGTCCTTAAAATAATCCTTTTCGTGTCTAATTTATAAATTCGTCCAAACCAATTTATTTTGGTCCATAATCTAGTTCCAATGATTGTGTAGTTGGATGACGGTTGAAAAGAGTTTTCCAACGATATATTATAAGCCCAAATCCGAGTTATAACAAGAAAGTTATGGCCAAAATACTAAACTAGGCCCAAACCGAACCTTACTTACGGACCCAATGACAATGTGGAGGGTCCATTAACCTTAACATCATTCCTAAATCCTCTAATTTATCCTGTTTTTTAAAAGATATGATTTATTACATCGGATAAAACACTTGTTTTTAATAGGCTTAATACTGATAAAACTAGGATATATACGTACGGAAATACGATTGACCCAATTTGATTAGAAGTCGGATTCTGTATGGATTATATCTTTCAAAAAATATCGCATATCGCTAGGCGATGCTTATAGTGCACCGCGATACTAATATCGTGCAGTGATATAGCTGGCGTTTTGCGATACGATCAGTTTTACTCCGAGACGAATTCTGACTCTTTTTCGGATCTTTTTACTTGTTTTTCCCTATAAATAGGGTCGTTTTCCTTCGTTTTCATTCACCAACAATCATCATCTTAACCCCTCTCTCTAAGCTATAAGCTTCTCCCTCACACCATACGACCTTTGCGAGACTTGAATGCTCCAAGCCCTTCTCGTAGTTGTCTTCGACCTCTGCGGGAAAGGTTGATATTTCTGAGGGTTTGGTCCTAAATTTATATTTCAATTTTTATTTAATTTTTTTTATTTAATCTTTGTTGAAGTTACTAACGCGTGTATTGTTTTGATAGAAAGAGATACAAGGCATCAAAGTGAGCAGATCTACCATCTTTATTCCTTGCTTTTGATATAGAAATTGTGCTTAGAATATTATTTTAATTCCTAGTACCATGTTAGGATACTTTTATGATTTCTAGTATCATGTTAGGGTGTTATTTTAATACTTCTAATATTATGCTTTCTAGTATCATGTTTAGGCTAAAACTTTGATCTTTATTTAGTGACATACTAGGGTTTGTTATTAATCCGTTTAGTATCATGCCTAGGATCTTGCTAATATTATTTTTGAGATATTGCTTTATTATGATGATGATGATTGTTGTGTTAATCATATCTTGCTTGATTGTTTATTATTTATTGTTATTGCTTGATCACGCCCTTCTTACAGGTTTAAAGGGAATTTGTACTTGAAATCACGCTTAATAAGATAATTAATAATTTGATTTAGGTTTAATATGATTTTAATTCAAGTGATCACCAATAATATATTTATTTGTGCATTAATAATCAACCAACATAGATTAAACAGATTTAGGGCTAACTTGTTGTATGTATGTTGACCGGAAAGCGCACATGAATATCATAAGAATTAAGTAGAGGCCGATTTAGGGCAGGTTCAATCTTTTTTACGTTGGATTCGTACCATCATCCCCGAATATCCAGTCATGGTTCCGGACCACTATGGAGTTAGCAATCTCTGTGATCGTGAATGGGGTGTAACCTTCACACTCGTAAACGGTTTACAAGTTCCTAAAACTTGTTGGCAACTTTTTATCTCTAGCTTCTTTCCCTTTGGACGCCACCATGCCTAAATGCATGATCATAGTGGGGCTCAAAATTGATGTTTGAAATATTCCCCACACCTATATAAATCCCACATCAACCCTTCATATGACCGATGTGGAACTCAAGTCCTATACCTTGCAATGGACAGCCTTATATCAGGCATGTACAACCTGACATATGCACACTAAGGTGATTTTGTGATAAGCTTGTTGAATGTATGTGTTTAACTAAATTTCTAACAACTACCAACATTTGGCTGAATAATGAATGACTTATATAATTAAATAAATACACAATCAATAAAGAAGTGTATAATTCAAATAGAATGAGTCTAGAGTTATAGTTCAATATATATGTGTGTGACATTTGGGGTTCAAAGGGAATCAAGAATAATCAATTCGTCAATAATCTAACTAGGAGGCTAGGGCACATATAAAATGTGATCGATAATTGCCTAATTCTTATGATCTCTTTGACAAGGTTGTAACATTATTGTAAGGAGATGGAGGGAAAGGAAGGGAAGTGAAATTGAGGGATGGAGTATCTTTTTTATTTAGATAATAAAAATTAAGGAAGGAAGAGAATTAGAGGGAAGAGAAGTAGAGAGATTAAATTGTAAGAAATTGATCTTTTTAACAAGATTTGGAAGGAAAACTCATCATTCTTTTCTCCCCTCCCTTTCCCTTCTCTCCCCTTCTCTACCTCCCCTACTATTTTCCTTACCCTTTCTTTATCCAAATACACTTGTTTACACAAATTTCGAGTCAAAATAAATAAAGACGGGAAATAAAGTAACAAATGAATTTATATTAATATTTGATTTGGGTACAATTTCTGTATAACAGTTTATAATATAATAAACTAAGTCCTCTGATTCTGTTCTGCAGCTTAACGATGACACGTGTCACCGCGTGTGTGACACCTGTAGGATGACGTTTGATGACGTCGACTTGAGTTTGAATGCAGGGTGACGTTTGATGACGTTGACCTGTATTCAAAGGTTTTGTTTGTATACACCTGAACGAGGGCTTCTGAAGCTTAATCTCGTTCAAATATATTTGAATGTATCTGAACAAGTTGGCACGAATTTGATGTGCTTGTTGACTTATTTAGGGAGAATTTCGTTTGAGTTTTATGAGCTCTTGAAAATAATGATTTCTGGATCCCTCCAACTGATGGAGGAATGAATATTTATAGGAGGTGAGAACCGCCTGAGTGGGCTTAGTTGGTTTGAGCTCAGCCCATTTAATGGCTTAGAAGTCTTTTAACCTGGTCCACTTGATTTATTTTATAACCCGAATTGTATTTGACTATTTTGAATTATTTATTTGGGTGGGCCAAAAATAATTAAAATGGATGATTAACATGATTTAACCCAAATGACACTCATAAAATTTCCGTGTCTACATATTGTCCCCCGAGACTGTGTCACATACACGATTTGAACCGTTTGGCGTGACAAGGTCTCGACTCTTTTGCTTAGCTTGGGAGTCACCAATACTTACTATTTTTTCGGTATTGGGTTTGAATTATGGGATTCCTTGAGCTCTAAGGTTAGACTCCTAGCTGTACTAGGTTTTGATCTCCTAAAAGATAATTGTCAACCGTAACTTATAAATTAGGAACTCAACCCCACCCTATTTCTCTGTTACGGCAGACTCATACTTGACGAACAAGGCCGTATCTGACTAAACCTTGTTGCTCTTCGTGGATCAACCGCCGTAAAGGTAAACCACTAATGTGTGTGCTCCTCCTTCTAAATAATCCATGATCATGTCATCCATGTAGGAGTCATTTATGATTACTCTTTGTACTTGCTCGTAGTATTTTGAGTCGGCTTGGCCTCTTCCCTGACATCCAAACTTTGACCGTCTTCGAGACTCGTGGCAAGGAGGTGATAATTGCCGCAGCAAGTAAATTATCAACAACAATAGGTAATTAGTACCTAACTTTCACTTTTCTATTTCAATTAACTCAACAATTATGCACTCCATCCACTAGGAGTAAATATTGCTTCTTGAATCAATTCGCAGCATCGAACGTGGAAATTCACTTTTGTAGCAAATTCATTAATAATCCTAGGTATTTAACTCGTTTCGTATTGCCGTCAAAACTCGATGCGTTGAATGCTATGCCTTGCGATATGACGTTAATTTCTTGATACCTATACTCTTGCTGCTAAATACACCGACTGCTAGATGACTTATTGCAATTTGATCCAACTATTTTAGCGTAGCAATTGTCGCCAATGGTCAATACCCAATGTTTCGGTTAGAAAACAATGGACCTTCGGAAAGTCCTTTCGTATGAGAGGAGACGAGGCCCAATCCGAGAGATGTCCGGATTGGGAATTTCCTGCAAAATACACGTAAACTGGCCTCGGGGGTGTGCCGAGGAAGGCCCCTCCGATGCCGAAGTCAATACAGTGTATAAAAGTAGAGAGAATAACTATGCAAGAGATTTGGTTGCTTGAGGCTATATGTGAATGAATGTAATGAATGAGATAAATTGGACTTTTATACCTTAGCTTGAGTAAGGGACATGGGCCCTTGGAATCCAGATGGGTTTGCCACTTGGATTGATCCATTTGCTGACTTAGCATATAGAGAGGAGTACAAATTTTTGCCTAGACTCTAGGGTAGCCAGCTTCTCCTACACCCCCATGCTACTACGTCGTTTTATATTGAACCATTCTGCCATTTTTTTTTCTTCATCTTTTTTCATTTTTGTTAACTTTCTATTCAAGCAACTATATAATGATTTTCTTAACCTAATTTCCATTTTATTTATCTCATATTTTACTTATTTCATTTTCTCTCTCCTGCATTTTTTATTTTTCCCCCAATTTTTCTCTCTCTTCTTCCATGGAAATTTCTAGCTCAATTGTGTTTGATCGTGACAGTGATTCTAGCTTAATTGCTTTTGATCGTGATTGTGATTTTATTTTTTCAGCTGGAGTTGGTTTAGTCGACTCGTTTTCGAAACAATGTGAGTAATTTTTTCCTCAATCATTCGATTTTGATTATGCTCTGTTTTTCGCGTGTAATAGTTCGATTTTGATATTTGATTTCATAGTTTTGCTAATTGTATGAACTATAGTTTATATAATGCTCAATTACAATTTTTGATTTTATTGTTTAGCTAATTGTTATTGCTTATTGTATGAATTAAAATCAAAATTATGGTCGATTATAATATTTGATTTCATTTTTATTTATGATTATTTTAATTTATAGTTTGTGATGTATTGTTGTGATTTTATTGTTTTTCTTTGTAATGTTGTTATTCGATTGATGTTTTTTCCAGTTTTCTGCATTTTAATGATTGTCTATAGTTTTATAAAATTTGACATTCAATTAATGCTCATGTATGTTATATTATATGTACATTTACGTTAACATAGGTGTAATTACTGTAATTTACATTTATCTATGTAATCATAAATGTTCATTTATATGTTTTATTATCATTTTGATATATGTTCATTTATGTAATGATAAATGATCATTAACAGTTTACATGTGGTTATTGTACATTATTGCTATTATTTGTGTTCATTTGTTACATTTTAATATTGCAGTGGAAAAAAAGAATGCTATTTTATTTGAGGAAGCAGCTAGTTCTGAATTTTATGGGAAACAATTTCCTTCTGAAGATGTGGCTTATGAAATGTTTAATGAATATGCATTTAGAAAGGGCTTTGGAATTAGAATTGGAAAAAGTAAGAGGCGAAGAGATGATTCATTCTCTATGAAAAGATTTGTTTGTACAAATGAGGGTTTTAAAGATGATAAGTGCAGGAATAATAGGTTGTATGAGAGACTTAACATAAGGATTGGTTGCTTAGCTTTTGTGCAGTTTAGTATTGACCGTTCAGGTGTATATACATGTACAAGACATGAGATGGTTCATAATCATGAAATGATTCCTGTTGACAAGAGACATTTAATAAGGTCTCAAAGGGATATTTCTAAGGAACATATTAATTTCATTTCTACACTTAGATTGAGTGGAGTTAAAGTTTCTGATTCTTTGAGAGCTTTGAAGAAGGAGGTTGGAGGGTCTCCTAACCTTTGTTTTACAGCTCCTGATGCTTATAATGCTATTTCTGTTGAAAAGACAGCTAAACTTGGGGGAGGTGACAGCAATCAACTAATCAATTTTTTTGCTAAGAGACAAATTGATGAAGCAGATTTCTATTATGATTTTGAACAAGATGAAAATGGTGCATTGGTTAATTTCTTTTGGAGAGATGGAAGGATGATGAGAGATTATCATTACTTTGGTGATTTGTTAGTTTTTGATACTACTTATAGGACTAACAAACATGGTATGATTTGTGCTCCATTTGTGGGTATGAATCATCATGCAAATAATGTGATGTTTGGCATGGGATTTATACTTAATGAAAGAACAGAATCATTTGAGTGGTTATTTAATACTTTTCTAACTTCTATGGGAAGGAGAAGTCCTATTACTATTATGACTGATCAAGCTCAAGCAATTGCAGCTAGGATAAGAAATATTTTCCCCAAAGGTGTTCATCATAGATTATGTGTGTGGCATATTGAACAAAATTCTAAGAAACACATTGGGGCGTTGAGAGCTTTGGATGGTTTCACTGATTTATTTGGTTATTTACTGAAGTATTGTGAAACTCCACCAGAATTTGAGCATTATTGGAAAAGGTACTTCTGCTTTTTACTTGTTTAGCTTCTTAAATAATTTTTACAGAAATGAACATTTAGTTTTTTTATAAATGTTTATTTATAATGATCATAACTGTTATGCTTAATGATCATGTTTCATTTACAGAATGTTGTTGAAATATGACTGTGCAAATGTTGATTGGTTGAATGATTTGTATAAAATCAAAGAGATGTGGTGTCCAGCTTTTTCAAAGAAATTTTGGTCAGGAGGTGTGCTTTCATCTCAACGTAGTGAGACAACTAACAAATCAGTTTCTCAAAGGCTTAACAAGACACAAGGTCTATGTGATTTCTATCAAGTGTTTCTCGATGTGGTTCAAGAGTGGAGAAGCAAAGAAAAAGGGAGAGATTATAATACAATCAGAGGTAATCGTCATTTGGCCTTTGCATACATTGGGATTCTTGTTCATGCTAGATCATTGTATACTATTCAAGCTTATGTGCTTTTTGAGGAAGAGTTCATTAAGGGTACTGCTTGTGATCATAAGGATGCTGGTGTGAATTTTCCTGAATATTATTATCATTTGTGGAGACCTGGGAAAGATATGATCAAGCACGAGGTTGTTTTTAATAAAGAAACACATGCAATATGTTGTACATGCATGTTGTTTAGTGAAATGGGTTTGCTTTGTTGTCATGCTCTTTGAATTTATCATAAGAATTGTGTTCATAAGATTCCAGATGGCTATATATGTAAGAGGTGGACTAAGGCTGCTATGTGTAGTCATGGCCTTGATGAACCTACAATGAAAACCAATGTAGTATCTACAAGTGTTTGGAGGACACAAACACTAAGGAAATTTGTTAAGTTGGTAACAAGTTGTCAACACTCTTTGAATGCTAGAGCAGAGGTTGAATGTTATTTCAATCTTTTAAAATAAAAGATTGAGAGTGTTACTGGTACTATTGATTTTAATGAACCGGTTGAAGGTATTGAAATTGTTGATCATGAAGTTAAGAATCCGGCAAAATCAAGACCTATTGGAGAGAGGAATTATAGGCCTAAGAGTAATTTAGAGAAGGCTTATAACAAAGCCAGGGGTCAGTGGTTGAAGAAAAAGTCAGTATACACTCCTTATAAAAGATCTAAAGGTCAAGCAGTAGTTCAGGTAATAATGCACATTTATGTTTTTGTTATTGATCATTTATGTTCAAGAATTGAACATTTTTGTTTTGCCTTAGGAATTGGACGAGAATGGGTGTCCTATATCTTATGCTAATTCTTTGGCTGATCCTAATGAGTTAATTGTGATTGAAGATCCAAGTGCTCAGGTAAAAACTTATTTTCTTTTTTTTTTATCTGTTTTTATCAAATTCTTTAGAATATTAAACATTTTTACTTTTAATTTTTTTTCAAGGTTTGTAATAAAAAGACTACCATTGTAGAAGATATCCCTTCAGATGATAGTGTTTCAAATGACTTTGAACAGGTATTATGTAAATGATTATGTATGTAATTGTAGTTGTTCATTTTAGTAGTTTAAGTTGTGATTATAATGTTTTTATAATTTTCATTTTATTATAGGAATATGGATATAGCTCTATGCAATCAAACGTTACTGTTGATCCAGACATATCTTCTATTGTTAAGGTGAAATATTAATCATCTACCTTTTAATTTTGTATAAGGTCATTATGAATTTTGAATTTTGATCATTAATTATTTTAATTTTGATCATCAGGGTAAAACAGCTGCAATTGCTCATGATGTTGATAATTTTCCAACAAGTTCTTAATTGCCACCAAAGAAACCAAGAAATGTACAATTTCCCACAGTTGTGCATGCTCAAATCAATGCTCAAGCTCCTTCTAAAGTTTCTAGCATTGTTTTAAATCCTCCAAAAGCTCCAAGAAATGTTCAAGTTCGTTCTAGTGTTCCGAAGAAAGTTCAAGCTCCTTCTAATGTTCCAAGAAGTACTCAAGGCTGTTTTCGGAATGTTCAAGTTGATTCTAGTATTTCAAGAAATGTGCATGATGTTCCTAATGTTCCAAGAAGTACTCAAGGAAATTCAAGGAATGTGCAAGTTTCTCCTAGTGTTTCAAGGAATGTTCTACTTTCTCCTAGTGTTTCAATGAATGTTCAAGGATCTCCTACTGTTTCAAGAAGTACTCAAGGAGGTTCTCCACAGATTTCAACCAAATATGATAGGTTATTAGCGTTTTTTGATACTAGTGTGGCTAAGAGATTGGCTACAAATGGTAAATAAGAGAGTAAATCAATATGCAATTATGTTTTGGTGTTTAACTATCAACATTTTTAGTTGTCTCAACTTTATAGAGATTCAAGTGCTTTAAGTTTTTTATATTTTGATTAATTAAGTAATTTGAATCTTTTTTTTTTCAAACTATTCTTAAATGTTCTATAAATGATTATTTTTGCTTTTGGAAGTGATCATATACTATTTTAAATAGTAAGAACCATTATTAAATTGGAATAATTATATTAGATGATTTAAAACTGGCAATTATAATGTAACACTTTACTATTTGTAAATATTAAAAAGATAATAAATTTTGTCTTTACTTGAACAACAACAAAAACTTATGTCCATACAAATACTGAAAGCAAGTATGATTATATATATGTCTATATATGAACATATTGTATTAAGCTTGTGCAAATCTTCTTGCTGCTCTTCTATTGTTTTGTGACTGCCTGTTTCCTTCATTCAGCATTAGTTCAGCAGTGTATTGTACTCTGAGCTTTCTGATTTGGTTCACCTGTTCCAAGAAAATAATTTATTATAAACATGAACATTAATGGGATATAAATGATCATTATGTATTATAAAGTGATCATGAAGTATATTTTTTTATTTTGTTGAAATTTACTTACATTGTTTGGTTTTAGGTCACAAACCCATTCTTCATTGGGATCAGCAGTGAAAGTTTCCATATGTTTCATAATGTAAACTCCACAGTTGGTGTAATCTTCGTTGCTCCTCCACTTCATTTTTTGCAAAACCACCTTATATTTCTCAATAGAATCTGCATCTTCATACCCCAACCCTTTCAAATATTCTGCATATCCTTTTAACTGCAACATATACAGAAAAAAAATTCAAAGGATCATATTAATATTGATCATTTTGTATAAACAAATTGATCATTTATATATCTATTAAACAATATACTTACCACCAATTGGGGTTGGTTTTCATACTTTGTTGCAATTGTTTGATGTTTTGGCAGTTTCCTATTGTCAATTATATGCATTGTCTCATTGATATGATCAATGCATAGAAGATAGAAATGTGCATATATGGCCACTGGAAAAAAAATCTGTACATAGTACACAATATTATTATATATACACATTAATGTAAATGAACATATTATAATTCCATATTGTTCATTAATACCTGTTGATATCCAACTGCACTCTTGATTTTGTATAACCTCAATTCATTTGTTATTCTTTCTTTGAAGTATGCAATTCTAAGCTCCATTGATGATCCTTCAGGACACACTGTATTTGCATACATAATTTGCTGCAAATAATGCACAAGGATCATTTTAATATTCATAATGATCATCTAGTATAAGTGAACTGATCATTTTAGTACACCAATGTATACATGTGTAATTTCAATAAAGACTTACATGTGGAAATGTTGAAAAGTATAACTTGTTCTTTGACCTTTTTTGATTCAGAAGTACTGCCCATGAATCGATCACATTGTTAACTACTAATGTATCCCCTTCAAGAGTTTTCATCTCTTCCCTATTGATCGAATTCACTCCATCATAGTATAGTAGCTCACTGCAAAATATCAATTTTTTAAATTTTATGTGTTTACAACAAACATAATGTTAAAGTTTTAATGAAGTAAGTGATGTATACCTTTGATCTTTTCCACTATAAGCATAGTCTGTTACAAGTTTGTTCATTGTCTCTTCATCTTTGAACAAATCCTTGTACTTGACCATGTATGGAGATCGGAAAGCAAGAGGAACATTTGGGATTTCCCTTTGTGGCCTAGTTAATGTGACCATATATTAATACAAATATGAATTTTTTTAATAATGAACAAATAATTTATATAAAGAACAAATGGTAATACCTTATCTCTTTTTCCTTTGCAATCTCAGTTTTTGCCTTCTCAGCTTCTCTTGATTTTTTTCTTTCCAAAGTCTTCTCTCTGTCACTGAATAAATATTGAATTATGAATGATCATTTAGTATATTGATAATGAACATTATAAATCTATACACATGTAAAGACCATTTACCTTTGTCCTGTTGTGTTTTTGGAAATTTGAATCTTCTCTGTTTCAATTTCTTTTGAATCCTTTTTTGTCTCACTGAATATAAATATAGTATAAATGATTATTCAGTTTAATGTAAAAGAACATGTATATGTGGAATAATCATTTACCTTTCCTTCACATTTGAAGCATATATCTGTTTCTTCTTGTCTTCTCTGAAATATTAATCATGGTTAGTAATGAAGAGTAATTATTATAAAAAAAACATTATTCTCCTTTTTTGAACAATAAACACTTAAAATATTACTAAAATATTTAAATTAAAATACATAATTTACATATCTTAAATTGTGCATTCCTACCCTAAAGCACAATATTCCCTTCTGATTTTATAATACATATCCATTACTAACTTCATAAACAAAAACTGTCCAAAATAATTACACTTTATAACCAAATTTATTCTACATGTCCATTCAAAATTATATATTTTCTAACAAGATAGGTCTTCCATGTTTACCCCATGCTTCCTCCTTTCTTGTTTGATTTATCAAGGATATCTTCCATACTTGAACATGCTGGAGATTTCAAGATTGTAGAAATATCTCCAGCAGCTTCCCTATTTTCAGTTGGTGTCTTGGGATCACCAACTTTTGAATCAGATGCTGCAAACAAAATACATGAAAAAAATTTAATATAACTAGAAATGAACATTATACTTAATAATTTGATCATTTATTTGTAATATGAGAACATTGTACCACTCTTTGAATTTCCTTCAACATTTTCTTCTAATGCTTCAGATTTTGAACCTTCACCTTTGTTTAATGCTTTTTGTATTAATTTGCATTCACACATATATAGACTTAGTATCATTAAAGAAGAATATCTTACAATCACAAATGTTCATTTAATACTATATAAGTGAACTTTTTACCTTTTTTTGAATTTCCTCCATCTTGTGGTTCTTCAGAATTTGAACCTCCAACTCTTTCTGTTGATTTAAAATATATGAAATTGTTAATGTAAATGAACATTTGTTATTCTGAATATATACTTTTTTGAATATTTAGACTAAACAAACTTATTATTTTATAAATGAACATTATACTTTTCATAATTGTACATAGATATTAAAGCTTTACCCTCTTCTGGCTTAGAGGAAACATTTGCATCAGTTGTTGTTGAAGTTGTTGCTGCAACATTAATCTGTGCTTCTATGTTCAAATAAATTAAATTTTAATTCTTTAATTATATTATACTCTTTAAGTAAGGATATTCAAATTAATGACAGTTTTTAATTAAGCATATTTACCAGTTGTTGGAGTTGGGGGAGTTAAGTTGCAACCCAAACTGAATGCCTTCCTTATATCATATTCCTTCTCATTTCCTATTTTCTTTTTTTCTGCTTCACTTGCCTCCATCAGTTCCTTCTCAATTTGAGCTATGGCATTCAAAAAATCCTCTGATCCAAATATTTCTTCATCTTGGCTGAGAATTGATGGTTCTCTTGCCATCTTTCCCAACACTTCATCTACCTTCTTGACCAATTGATTCCCAGGGAAGAGCTCTTTTTCCTTAACCAATTTGGTAGAAAGTCTTGCCAAAGATGCACCAACTTCTTGTACCATTGATGCAAATTCATTCATAAAGACCTGTCATTTATAGAACATATAAGAAAAATCATATAAGACATTATGTGTTTTGATATTGAACATTTCATAATTTATAAATGATCATTTTGTACCTTAGGATTGTCTGCAGGCTTTTCTTCTATTCTTGGAAGGACTTTTCCATATCCATAGTTCAAATCATTTTCTGTTTTTATCCTTTCAAGTGACATATCCCTTTTCCAACAAGAAATTATTGGAATTGTTCTTGGTTGTTTTTTGTTCAATCTTTGAACTCTGTCAAAGTAGAACAGCTGCACCAAAACCCATTACTATAAATGAACATATAATATTATACAAATGAACAATTAATATAAAAGATTAAAATTTTAGACGAAATCGATATTTAACATTTTGTTAATGAACATTCATTGTTACTAAAATGAACATTTTATAATTTACTATTGTGTGTTGTAAACTTACCATCAGAAATTGCAGTGGTCCATTGTAGAATCCTTTTCCTCCACTCTTTCTCCATGTCACATGGAAACTGATGAGAGAGTCAAACACGTACTGACACCAATTCAAGTTTTTTATTTTTTCTTTGTCCATCATAGAAAACAGAAACTTGAAATGGCATTGGTTGTTTGAAATACACTTCATCAAACAATTCACAGCAACTACCAAAAAGTTGGTGAGAAAATCTTCTTCTGCTGGCCTTTGGTTTTTAAATTTATCACTTGTATATTGAGCAATAATTTGGTTTACAGATGGTGTTTTGCCTTGCCATTTTGACCTCCAATTTTTTATAAATACACCAAAATCTTCACTTGCTCTGTCTGATTTGGCTTCAACAATGGGAATGTCTCCCATTGGCAAACCATATACAATTCTCACATCCTCCACCTCAATTTCAATTTTCTCACCTTTAGGCAGCTCAAAACTATAACTACTGACTTCAAAGCTATCTAAAACCCAATGGCTGAATTGTTTGTCAAGCTGAGGAAGTTCTATATCCAACAACGACCCTAGTCCTATTTCATGCACTAATTTCTTCTGTGTATCACTCATTTTCTTAACTCAATGCATGAATTTGACATGGCTTCCTCTTGTCGAACTTCCAACTTCCTCTTCATTCTTTTCTTCCTCCTCTTCTTTTTTTTTAGCTACTGAAAATTCAGTTTTCCTCTTCACAATCTTTTTTATTGGTTCCCTCTCATACAGAACCATTCTTTTTTCTTCAGCTTTTGGTTTTTTCAATGTTGTTTTCTTTTCTTGAACTACTTTCACCTCCTCACTTTCTTCATCAGTATTACTTTTATCATCTTCTTCATTTTCCTCCTTTGATTGTTCTTCAATGATTTTTGTTTTCTTCAAAGGGCCTTTAGCTGATGCAGAAGGCCTCTTCTGGCCACCTAAACATTTGATCAATTATAATATGTAAAATGAACATATATATATGAAAGTGTAAATTGCTAGTTTGTATTTGAACATTTAACTTTATTAATATGTACATTACCTTTTTGTTCTACTTTTTTAAGAATTTTCTTTTCTGCAGGAGCATAACTTGTTGTAGGGACTTCTTCTTGTTCTTCATCCTCTGATGGTTCATCATAAGGCACTTGATCTATAACTTTTATTTTTTTTTGCAGGACTTTTGGCTGATGCAGCAGGTCTTTTCTGAGCACCTAATTATTTGATCAATTACATTAAGTAAAATAAACATTTTAAAAGTGTAAGATTGTAATTGAACATTTATTGTTTTAGATATGTTCTTTTACCTTTTTGGCCTGCTTTCCCAATAACTGCAGCTCTTGTACGCCCTATTTTCTCAACAGGTTTCTCTGCAACTGCAGTTGCAACCCTTGGACGCCCAGGTTTTTTGGGTGTTGTTGCTGTTGGTAGGTTTTCAGCAATTGCTACAGCAGCTGTTGCTATAGCTGATATGCCAGACAACTTAACATCTGCAAATAAACATTGTTATATAAATATTAATATAGTTGTAATATTTTATTTAATATGATCATTGTTATATTAGAAATTGTACATTTTATTTACCTCGTGATTTACTTCTTGTTCTTCTTGCTGGTGATTGTTCATATTCCTGTTTTTTCTGATTTTCTTCCAATTCTTTTTTCTTTTGATTTTTCCTTGCAACCATTTTCCTTCTTGGTTGCTTTGAATTTTTTGAAGATTCTTCACTCTTTTGAGACAAATTTAACTCTTCAACAGGTTTTATACCTCTCAATATTCTTGTCAACTCCTCATCCCTTTGTAATTCTTCTTGTCTTTCCAATTCTTCTTCTGTTTCATCCTCAATCTCAATTTCTTCACCACCTATACATTTAGATCATTTACAAATTGGTAAATGAACATTTTCAGTATAAGTGTTATTGATTAAAAAAATTTAATATTTAATTTAACAATTATGTACATTACCTAATAGGATTTTTTTTAATTTCAGCAGGGGCCTTCTGTTGTGCATTTGCAGAACTTGCTGCATGGGATTTTTCTGCAGCAGAGGACTTTTCAGTAGTTGTAGCTGGGGCCATTTCAGCAGCAGTGGCTTTTCCAGCAGTATCAACAGTTGTAGCAGGGGCCTTTTTAGCAGCAATGACCTTGCTAACAGGAGCAGTTTTCCAGTTTTTTGTCAGTTTTTTTAGTATTCCTTGAGCTGACACTTTTAATTTTTTCCTGGAAACAAATAATTTATGATCAATAATATTGTAAATGTGGAATAGAAACATTTAATAAGTTATATATGTTCATACTTTTGCATTATGTATGAAAGTGTTTCTTCAATTGCTGCTGGAGGTTCATCCTCTTTTGGAGGCTCTTCCTCTGCTGGAGGCTCATCCTCTGCTATAGCCTTCACTTGTTGTGTAGGCTGATCCTTTGCTGTAGCCTCTTTTGGAGGCTCATCTTCAGTTGATTGATTTCTGAAAATTAAAAATTGAAAATGATTAAAAATGTTTATCAACTAATATGAAAATGAACATTAGTTGATTTCTGAAAATACCCTGCTGATATACGTGTTTTATACAATGGTTTTCCCCGGTTTTACTTAGTAATTTTATATGGTTTTGAGCTCTACGGAGCCATTTCTTGCTAACAATCTCTTCTTTAGTGTATTCGATTGTTTTAGTAAGCTTTTCAGGAATATGAAGCGTTTCTAGGCAATTGGACGTGTTTTTAGTAGATTCGGAAGAGTTGATAGCCAAGAACTGCAATTTATGTGGAGTGCCCGACCGGGCATGGCTTGCCCGGGCAGACCGGGCAATGAAGAGTTCACAGGAAGAAGCCCAATTCTGAACGGTGCAACGCGCGCCCGATCGGGCAGGCTTCGCCCGGTCAGACCGGGCGATGAAGAAGTCAAGTTATGAAGATGCAATTCTGGAAACGTGTTACGCGCGCCCGACCGGGCGAGGTTCGCCCGGTCTGACCGGGCAAAGAAGGAAAACTGTCGTATTTTACGCAGCCTTCCTCCGCCCGATCGGGCGAGATCTGCCCGGTCTGACCGGGCGATGTTCAAGATTGCGCGATTTCAGCTATTTCCGAATTTCTATCTTTTGGGGGTATAAATACCCTTTTGTAATTAACTCTTAGAGAGAGTTTTTCATTAGTTTTTCTCCTTAAGCCCTAGAAAACTCTCAAGAACCCTAGTTTTATTTCCTTTAAGCAATTTCAATCTTTTAATCCCAGATTAATCAATTGTTCATCAACAATTTGAGTTCTTTCAATTGGAGTAATTGGTATTTATCTTACTTCACTCTTTTCTGATATTCACTGTTCTCTAAATATGTTTTCTTTACTGTTTCTTGTTTTTGAACTTGATTTTGATTTTATTATGATGTGTGAGTAGTTTCCTTAATCCGGGATCTTGCTAAGCTCGATTATGATTGATGTATAAAGTAGATCTTTAAATTCCCCAATAATAATCCCAATTGACATGCTTAATTGATTGTGTTTATGCCAATACTAGATTAGGAATAATTAGTATTGTTATCATCCCTTTGTTCTTATTGCAACGGAAGTTGGGTATTAACGGGATTAGGTTATTCCAATTAAGGGTTTGAAGATCATCACGGAAGTAGATGATTGAATAATTAGGAATCTAGGCATGGTGTTTAATGTCCCTTATTCGCTTGATTCCACGGAAGTAGGCTTGATAGTTAATTTGGGAAGCCATTGATAACTTGGAAGAGACCTTTGGTATTATTATTAGGGATTGCTTTTCTTCTTGTCAATTGATTTATATATTGGGGGTAGATTTATTAGTTTATCAATCATAATCGTGGTAATGCTTGATCTTGGATGCTTTAGTTTATTGATTAATATTTCCTCTAGTTAATTGTGTTATTTAATATATTAGTTGATTATTATCATCCATTATTGATTGGTGACGTGCTTAGTGATTAATTGAGTCTGATTAATTGAATGAACCATAGTCTCTTGGGATTCGATCCTTACTTGCCCTACTACACAGTTAGAAGGAATAGTTAGGTTATTTTTGTTAGGTACGCGATAAGCCTATCAAATTTTGGCGCCGTTGCCGGGGACTAACGGTTTCATATTGATTTTCCGTGATTCGTTTTTACTAAGCGTTGTTTGTTGCTTCGGCTATTGCCTCCTGTGTTTTTGATGTTCTTTGCCTAGTTCTTTGTTGTATGCAAACACGTCGCTCAGGGTCAGACGACTTAGTGCCTCTCGATTCAGAAATTGAAGCGACTGCAAGAAGACGAAGAAGTAGAAGAAGAGCAGGTAACAGAAATATGGAAGACCAAGCAACAAAGTCTCTTTTGGAGTACGGTATCCCTGACACAACAACCGGACTCCTTTCTAGCATTGTTAGACCACCTATCACCGCTCAGAATTTTGAATTGAAACCGCAGTTTATTCAATTCATATCCAATGATTCATTTGCTGGCACACCTCTTGATTGCCCAGTGAATCATATAGATGGTTTCTTGGAAAAGTGTGACACTATGAAGCTGAATGGTGTTACAGATGATGCTCTTAGACTTCGCCTTTTTCCATTCTCATTACGGGATAGGGCGAAGGAATGGTTAAGAGATGAGGGTTCTGGTTCCTTTGATACATGGGATAAACTAGTAAAAGCTTTTCTGGTCAAGTTCTTGGGACAAGAAAAGACTGCAAGATTAAGGAACGAGCTATCCACTTTCAGGCAATCAGATGAAGAATCCTTATATGACGCATGGAGGAGATTCAAGAGATTACAGAGACAGTGCCCTCATCATGGCATACCTGAATGGATGTTAATCCAAACCTTTTATAACGGTCTAACCCATGAATTCCGGATCTATATCGACGCCGCATCTGGAGGCTCCCTTTTAACTAAAAATCCAACCGAAGCAAAGGAGCTGGTTGAGAAGATGTCAGCCAATGACAACTATCACCCAGGCGGCCGAAATAGTGTCAAGAAAGGAGGTAAATTAGATGTTGATGCTCTAACTCTTTTAACTAGTTCTGTGCAGGCACTTTCAAGCAAGTTCGATAGATTACAAACTGGATCTTCTAATAATGTGCTAGAAACTTGTCAAATGTGTAATACTCAAGGTCACATCGCACCTAATTGCCCACGAAATTCGAATGAGGTATCAATTGAGGAAGCCAATGCCTTCTACAATTCCAACCCTAAAAGACCATACGATCCCCATTCTAATACTTATAATGAAGGTTGGAAGAATCACCCAAATTTCTCATACAAAAACACCCAGGCTCAGCAAAATCCACCTCCGCCCCCACCTCGAAACAACAATTATAATCCACCTGGTTTTCAACCAAGACCACCCCTAGTACAACAACCCATGCAACCTATGCAACCACTCCCTCAAAAATCCAATCTCGAACTAATGATGGAGAACTTCATCAACACCACAAATAATTCCATCCAACAGTTACAAGCCCAGAATAAGCTCATGGAAAATCAAATAAGCCAACTTGCTCATCAAGTCGGCCAATCTTCAAAAACACCAGGTACGTTTCCTGGCCAAACAGAGCAACCACAAAAGGGGCACATGAATGCTGTAATTTTAAGGAGTGGAAAACAGTTGGAAGACCTTCCCGTAAGGGAACCATCAACGATAGATATTGAGGGAATGAGTGAAAAACAGGGGATTTTGCAAAATTCTTCTTCGCCCGGTCAGACCGGGCAATGTCCGCCCGATCGGGCGCGAGAAGCAGTCGACGAAAAACAGGGGACTGTGCGAATTTCTTCTTCGCCCGGTCAGACCGGGCAAGGTCCGCCCGATCGGGCGCAAGAAGAAATTCCAGACAAACAGAAGAACATAAGCAGCTCTTCTTCGCCCGGTCAGACCGGGCAATCACTGCCCGACCGGGCGGGAGATCCAGACAGCCTAATTCCAAGGAATGATGTTCAAGAAAAGCCACGGGAACCGATCCCACCTCTCGCCCCATACATGCCAAGAGTCCCTTTCCCACAGAGGTTAGCCCAGGCTAAGTTAGAGAAAAAGTACGGTAAATTTCTAGACATCCTTAAGAAACTTCACATTAATATACCGTTCTTGGATGCAATTTCTGAAATGCCTTCTTATGCAAAGTTTTTGAAAGACATGCTATCTAACAAGAAGAAGCTTGCAGAGAATGCTACTTTTTCTCTAACTGCAGAATGTAGTGCCATTCTGCAAAACACTCTTCCTAAGAAACTAGGTGATCCAGGCAGCTATTCAATCCCAGTGAAGCTCGGAGATATAGAGATCAATAGAGCGCTATGCGATCTTGGTGCAAGTGTAAGCCTTATGCCGCTCTCCATCTGCGAAAAGCTTCAAATGGGTGAGCTAAAGCCTACAAGGATATCTCTGCAACTTGCAGACAGGTCAGTTAAATTTCCCCTCGGTATACTTGAAGATGTTCCATTGCGAGTTGGTAAATTCTTTATTCCATGTGATTTTGTTGTTATGGAAATGGAAGAAGATGCCCATGTCCCTATTATTCTTGGTAGACCATTCTTAGCTACTGCAGGTGCAATTATTGACATGAAGAATGGGAAAATAACATTTGAAGTAGGGGATGAGAAAATGGAGTATTCATTACTGAATGCTATGGGAAATCCGTCTATGGGTGAGACTATTTGTCAAGTGGATGTCCTCGATGATCTACAACAAGAACAACTTCCCCTGATCAAAAAGGAAGATGCTCTTGAAACGGTGTTGATAGGGAGTATCCATGATGAAGATTGGGAAGTAAGGGAGTACACGAGGCTACTAGAAGACGCAAAAGCTAATCCAATCATCGCTCCAGTCAAGGAAGTCCTTAGTACATCGAGTGTTGGGGAGGGTTCGACGCCTCCCGAGGTAGAGTTGAAACCCCTTCCATCTAATCTTAAATATGCATATCTTGGTCCTAAAAATACATACCCTGTTATTGTTAATGCTGAGCTTAATAACATTGAATTAGAGAAACTTCTCGCTGTTTTAAGAAAATATAGAAATGTTATTGGGTATACCATTGATGATATCAAGGGTATTAATCCCTCTTTTTGTATGCATAAGATCATTCTTGAGGATGATCATGCCTCCTCTAGAGAACCTCAAAGAAGGCTAAATCCAACTATGATGGAGGTAGTCAAGAAAGAGGTTCTCAAATTGCTTGCTGCAGGAATAATCTACCCTATCTCAGATAGTAAGTGGGTTAGTCCTGTACAAGTAGTACCAAAGAAAGGAGGTATGACAGTTGTCAAGAATGACAAAGGCGAGCCTGTTGCCACAAGAACTGTTACAGGGTGGCGGATGTGCATTGATTACAGAAAATTAAATAAAGCCACCCGTAAAGATCATTTCCCCTTGCCTTTCATTGATCAAATGCTCGAACGATTGGCTAACCATTCCTTTTTCTGTTACTTGGATGGATATTCCGGTTTTTTTCAAATCCCCATCCGCCCTTGTGATCAGGAAAAGACTACATTCACATGTCCATATGGCACCTTCGCATATCGCAGAATGCCATTCGGACTGTGTAATGCCCCAGCCACGTTCCAACGGTGTATGATGGCTATTTTCTCAGGTCTCATAGAAAATTCTATGGAAGTTTTTATGGATGATTTTTCTGTTTATGGTTCATCTTTCGATATTTGCCTTGATAATCTAACAAAGGTGCTCCATAGATGCCAGGATGTCAATCTGATATTGAACTGGGAGAAGTGCCATTTTATGGTACAACAGGGAATCGTTTTAGGCCATGTAGTTTCAAACAAAGGGATTGAAGTGGACAAAGCCAAAGTAGAGGTAATAGAGAAACTTCCCCCTCCAAATTCTGTGAAAGGAGTACGAAGTTTTCTTGGCCATGCAGGTTTTTATCGCAGGTTTATCAAGGACTTTTCAAAAATTGCTCGACCCTTAACCGAACTGTTAGCTAAGGACGCCCAATTTGATTTTAATGATGCTTGTCTTGAAGCTTTTAACAGGTTGAAGGAAGCCTTAACCTCTGCTCCTGTTATGCAACCCCCGGATTGGGCCCTACCCTTTGAAATCATGTGCGATGCTAGTGATTATGCGATAGGGGCCGTCCTGGGGCAACGAAAGGATAAGAAATTGCATGCTATATATTACTCTAGTAAAACTCTTAGCCCTGCTCAAATGAATTATGCAACTACTGAAAAAGAGATGCTAGCTGTCATATATGCAATAGATAAGTTTCATTCTTATTTAGTTGGGTCAAAAGTGATTATCCATACAGATCATGCGGCATTGAAATATCTGATGAGCAAGAGCAATGCCAAGCCGCGGTTGTTTAGATGGATCCTCCAATTGCAGGATTATGATATAGAGATCAGAGATACGAAGGGGACAGAGAATGTCGTCGCAGACCATCTCTCTCGCCTCCTCCTTGATGAGGAGGATGAGGATAACCTCCCATTTGACGACTCTTTTCCCGCTGAGCGTTTGTTAGCTCTTTTACAGGTTGAATCTCCTTGGTATGCTGATTTAGCTAACTATCTTTCTACAGGTACACTGCCTCACGGGTACTCCTATCAACAAAGGAAGAAATTCCTTTATGAGGCACACCGACACTTTTGGGAAGACCCTTTCTTGTACAAACTATGTGCCGATGCAGTGATCAGACGGTGCATTCCCGAATGTGAGGTAAGCAATATAATTTCTCATTGCCATGACTTACCTTGTGGTGGACATGCAGGCCCCTCGAAAACAAGTGCGAAGATCCTACAATGCGGATTTTACTGGCCCACTATGTTTAAGGATGTGTACTCCTATGTCAAGGCCTGTGACCGTTGTCAACGAACGGGAAATATTTCCAAGAGGAACGAAATGCCACTCACCAACATACTCGAGGTCGAGTTGTTTGATGTGTGGGGGATAGATTTCATGGGCCCTTTCTCTTCCTCTAAGGGGAATCGATACATTTTGGTAGCCGTTGACTACGTGTCAAAATGGGTTGAGGCCATTGCTACACCAAGCAATGATGCCCGTGTGGTAAGTAAATTCTTCAAGAAAAACATTTTCAATAGATTTGGTATCCCACGTGTGTTGATTAGTGACAGGGGAACACACTTCATGGAGAGCCGATTCGAAGCAATGTTGAAGAAATATGGAGTGCAGCATAAACTTGGAATTGGCTATCACCCCCAAACCAGTGGCCAAGTAGAGGTATCAAATCGAGAGATAAAGTCCATCCTAGAGAAAACAGTTGCAAGAACGAGAAAGGATTGGGCTGACAAAATTGATGATGCACTTTGGGCCTACCGAACAGCTTACAAAACTCCAATAGGTACAACCCCGTACAGACTTGTATACGGAAAAGCTTGTCACTTACCCGTCGAGCTAGAACATCGAGCATTCTGGGCCATCAAAAGCCTAAACTTTGACGCTAAGGCCGCGGGAGAGAAGAGGCTATTGCAGTTGAATGAGCTAGATGAGCTCCGCCTCGAAGCCTATGAGAGTTCAAAGCTTTATAAGGAGAAAACAAAGAGGTGGCACGACAAGGGCCTCATAAGAAGAGAACTCAAAGAAGGAGAGCAAGTCCTTCTATTCAATTCAAGGTTGAAACTATTCCCAGGGAAACTCAGGTCAAGATGGTCGGGCCCTTTCACGGTCTACAAAGCATATCCTTATGGCACCATTGAATTATGGAACAACACCGGGGGCACCTTCAAAGTCAATGGACAAAGGGTGAAGCACTATCGAGCGGGAGATCCTATTGAAGAAAAGTCAGATATCACATTCTCTTCCTCACCACAAACTCAATGAGGATGAATACGGTCAAGCTAATGACCTTCTAAACAAGCGCTTGCGGGAGGCAACCCGATTCTTTTTGAGGAGCCGTCGAGATTCCTATGCTCTCCTTACGCTGTAATGAGGCCATTGCCGCATTTAGCTTGGGGGAGTTGCTTCGTACATGTGGTACTCTCTCTCTCCTTATCTCTCTTATCTTTCTTGTTTTATTTTAGTGTAGTTATTTTAGTTGTTTTTAAAAAAAAAAAAAACAAAAAAAAAAAACATACAAAAAATACGATCCAATGAATAATAAATCATGCTTCCCTGTGCCCCATTCATGAAAATTGTTTTAATTCTTGGTATATGATGACGAGTATTGTGGATAGGTTAGCCATGATTTGATGTTTGATTACTTGGATGTCTTAACATGAGTCAATTTTGCCCAACTACTTGTAAATATAGTGCTTGACTAGTTGATTTGGTTAGGAATGTGTGTTAGTTCCTGGTATGTCAATGAAGTTGAGTATTGGTTTATAACTTTGAGTAATGTTTGCATGACTCATTAATATGCACATTGAGGAGGACGAAGGCATTTGTTCCTCTAGGTGGCTTTCAGACGATATTAGATACATTTGTTCCCTTCTTGCTACCCATGTTGTTGCTTGTGCCCTTTTATTGTTTATTTTGCCACATTACAAGCCTATTTAAGCCCCATTGGTTACTAGTCCCAAGCTTGGCTTGGGGGAGCTAATAGTGAGTGAGGTGAGGGAGTTGTAGTGTGCATGTAATCTGCACAATTTTGGGTGGATTTGAGAAGTTTTTGTTTGTTCTTATTGTTGTGGATTGAAAAAAATTGAAAATTTATTGTGCAAAGAAAAAATTCCAATGTGAGATGAAAAAAAGGGAAAAGAAAGAGCAAAAGAAAAAAATTGTTTCAATGTTCAAGTGTTCTAATTGAAGGCTGCTCAAGAAAAAAAAGGAGAGTTCAAAGTTTGTTTGTTCACTCAAGTTCTATAATTTTATATTTTGTATATATGAGTGAAATTTTAAGTGTTGGAAATTTTTAATATAATTGGATGTTTGGTGAATTTTTGGTAGAGTTGAGTTGTGTTGGAGATGATTTGGTCATTAATTCATTTTGATCTTGGTTTTATTTATTAGGATTTTGGCTCCCTTAAGCATAGCTTTACTCTTACATTTTCCCAAATATTTCCTACCTTTTATCCTAGCCTTACATTACAAGCTTTGAAGACCTTCTGACCTTTGTGCATAGAGTTGTGTGAATGTGAAATTAGTTGTTTTCCAATGCAAAGAATGATTTGATATATTTCGAGTCGACTGCTAGGTTGAGTGCTTGTTTTCTTTAAACACACGAGTGCGTGAGTTTGGGAGGGCATTGTTCACATTTAAAGGAGTTGGATGGAGAGCGATCGAGTATATCTTTTACTCGCCACATAAATGAGAGTTGAGTGTGTGAACACTAGTCTTGAATTCTATATGCTCTTGTGGTTTGCTCTATTTGACTATTGTCAGACAGGATGAGTAGTCAGATGGATTTGATTGGTTGACTTTGATGCATAACTGTCGAGTTTACCTTTAATCGTATTTATTGATTTGAATTGCTTTTGGGGTGAAGTATTGATTTATTTATTCATTGCTTTGCTTAGGGACAAGCAAAGGTTTAGCTTGGGGGAATTTGATATACGTGTTTTATACAATGGTTTTCCCCGGTTTTACTTAGTAATTTTATATGGTTTTGAGCTCTACGGAGCCATTTCTTGCTAACAATCTCTTCTTTAGTGTATTCGATTGTTTTAGTAAGCTTTTCAGGAATATGAAGCGTTTCTAGGCAATTGGACGTGTTTTTAGTAGATTCGGAAGAGTTGATAGCCAAGAACTGCAATTTATGTGGAGTGCCCGACCGGGCATGGCTTGCCCGGGCAGACCGGGCAATGAAGAGTTCACAGGAAGAAGCCCAATTCTGAACGGTGCAACGCGCGCCCGATCGGGCAGGCTTCGCCCGGTCAGACCGGGCGATGAAGAAGTCAAGTTATGAAGATGCAATTCTGGAAACGTGTTACGCGCGCCCGACCGGGCGAGGTTCGCCCGGTCTGACCGGGCAAAGAAGGAAAACTGTCGTATTTTACGCAGCCTTCCTCCGCCCGATCGGGCGAGATCTGCCCGGTCTGACCGGGCGATGTTCAAGATTGCGCGATTTCAGCTATTTCCGAATTTCTATCTTTTGGGGGTATAAATACCCTTTTGTAATTAACTCTTAGAGAGAGTTTTTCATTAGTTTTTCTCCTTAAGCCCTAGAAAACTCTCAAGAACCCTAGTTTTATTTCCTTTAAGCAATTTCAATCTTTTAATCCCAGATTAATCAATTGTTCATCAACAATTTGAGTTCTTTCAATTGGAGTAATTGGTATTTATCTTACTTCACTCTTTTCTGATATTCACTGTTCTCTAAATATGTTTTCTTTACTGTTTCTTGTTTTTGAACTTGATTTTGATTTTATTATGATGTGTGAGTAGTTTCCTTAATCCGGGATCTTGCTAAGCTCGATTATGATTGATGTATAAAGTAGATCTTTAAATTCCCCAATAATAATCCCAATTGACATGCTTAATTGATTGTGTTTATGCCAATACTAGATTAGGAATAATTAGTATTGTTATCATCCCTTTGTTCTTATTGCAACGGAAGTTGGGTATTAACGGGATTAGGTTATTCCAATTAAGGGTTTGAAGATCATCACGGAAGTAGATGATTGAATAATTAGGAATCTAGGCATGGTGTTTAATGTCCCTTATTCGCTTGATTCCACGGAAGTAGGCTTGATAGTTAATTTGGGAAGCCATTGATAACTTGGAAGAGACCTTTGGTATTATTATTAGGGATTGCTTTTCTTCTTGTCAATTGATTTATATATTGGGGGTAGATTTATTAGTTTATCAATCATAATCGTGGTAATGCTTGATCTTGGATGCTTTAGTTTATTGATTAATATTTCCTCTAGTTAATTGTGTTATTTAATATATTAGTTGATTATTATCATCCATTATTGATTGGTGACGTGCTTAGTGATTAATTGAGTCTGATTAATTGAATGAACCATAGTCTCTTGGGATTCGATCCTTACTTGCCCTACTACACAGTTAGAAGGAATAGTTAGGTTATTTTTGTTAGGTACGCGATAAGCCTATCACCTGCTGCATCCTTTTTTGGTTGTTGTTGTTCAACCTCTCTTGTGTCTTTCTTAGGTGATTGATTTCTGAAAATCAATTAATTTCAAATAAT